TGCCTGGGAACTACTGGTCAGTCTGAGAAGATTCTGTAAACAAGCGCTAGCTAATAAACCTCGCTGATTGAACCTGCACGGTCTCCAGGAGTTCCTTGGGCTAGGCCTGACATTATCATTTTGAGATGAGAAATAAAAAATACAGAATAAGCCTTAAAGTAGTTTAAGAAACCAAAAAAATGTTTAAGAAACAAAAAATAACTCCAACTTTGCCTCAAAAACTCAATGAAATATTGACCAGAAGATCTTGGCTTCATCTGCTTCACATCATCATTCTAACCAATGCGCCCTTTTCAGCCATCCCCAAAATGTTTTTAAGAGTGGCCCCTGACCTGCTGTAATGGAGGTACTAAGGCTGTGAAAGTTCATTGAGGTGCAGTTTATAAATCATGAGAGGCATGAGCAAAGAGCCTCTCAACACTGAAGCAACTGCATTATTCAGAAGGAATGATACAATTGTTTTTGAGGACCTTTCTAGATTGTCTGTACATGCATAGCCATATCACTTAGAGATCAGTCCCCAAAAAAGTACATGCAGGTGACCTGGGAAAACTGCAAAGTATCTTCGCTAAGCCTTTGAGAATACATGGCTGCCTCAGGGTCTCAAGGAGAGGAGCTTCATGAGGCATCCAGTTCTGTGGAGCTAGGAAGATCAAATATTGTATCAGACTGATAATAGAATTTTTTATGAAGAGAACAGCTGTAAAACATACAGAAAAGAAAAGATGAATTGGATTTGTTTGAGAACAGACTTAACATTTCTAGGTGTATAAGAGCTTCATGGAATAAAGCAAATACAAGTGAAATTAGAGGAGAAATACTTATGAGATATAACTTGAGAGTTCAAAATATACCAAGTTTAAGACTTTAAAACAGTGTTATCAATCAGTATAAAAGGGATCTTCTAATCAGGGGTGTGTAACTATTTGGATCTAAAGTGAACAGGGTGCTTCAGAGGGACATGCACTTATCAGCTCCTCTTAAAGAAACTAGATTCTTACCTGGACTTATATAACAGCTGTGCAGTCCCAGGAAAATTATGTTTGAGTTGAGGCGACAATAGGGCATGACAACCTTGCCACACTCTGTTGGCACTTCCTTGACTCAAACACATACAGTATTTTCCCTTTTCACTTCCGACCTGAATAGCTGCACATTCCTACATTTCATGTATATGAGGAATAGCTGGTTCTGAAATAAATATTTAATTGATTTATATTCTGTTTCAGTGACAGAATTGAGAAATAATGTGCTTCGAATGACACAGTGAGAAATGTGGAACAGCTGGAGGGCTAAGCAGTCAGTCTGCTTGTCAGTTTTCAGTTCTTTCTTCCTGAGAAGTGTTTTTCTTTTCTTTCTGAAGAAAGTATTAAGTCTTTAATACATTAATACTGGTAATATGTTGTTGGCTGCTAGTCCCTAAATAACCAAGTTGTCAGAATTTATTAGAAATTGTTTAATGGCTGATTTAAATTATCTGTACTTTATATCTAAGCAACTTTAAAACATTGACTCATCCAGTAGATGTAGATATATGTAAATTACATATACTATTTATTCAAACAGTAGAAATTCATTTAAGTTGCTCATTTAAAAAATATTATGTTGCATAATCATATTGACTATAGGAATGCTTATTAAAATTTGATTGAATGTGCTTAAGCCTGAGTTCAGCCATGCAAACTGAAATTTGCTATTCAGTCAAAACTTTTAGATTTCAGCAAGTTTTCAGCTATGTTCTTATACTCTGTATAGCTCACTTTATAGTATAATATGTAAACCAAAAAGGATCTACAGAATTCAGTGCCAGAAAGAGAACTTATATTCTTCTATGGCAACCTCCAGCTTAGGAATTAAGTAATTGTTGCAGTTTGATGCTATTGGAACATGCGAATCAGGCTTGTGCTATGCCAAAAAGTGGTTTATTTTTGGCTTAGTATGTGGTATGAGAAATCAGCTATAGGAATTTGGAAACCATGGTTTATAGTTTAGTTGGGTGACAAAAAGACTGATGCTTGATTTTAATATTGTGATGCTTATAATTTGTAGGTGAAATTCTTGCTGCTTTAGCCAATGTATCAGGACGCAAACATCCATCAACAGTTCAGGCCAAACAACTAAAAGGATGTCTTCCAATGATGCCTGTGGTACTTCATCTTGTGACATCTCAGGTACTGTTAGAGTGGAAAAAGAAGTCTATTACTGCCTTGCTGGCTGTTTTTGGACTCTGTTGGCTGTAAGCCAATAAATGCATGCACCTATATCCTTCATATTATTCCCTTTTGGGGGGAAAGCATCATTATGCAAATAGCAGAAAAAGAGTAAGAGTAGTAACTAACTAAAAGGAATTTGGTGCAGGAGATTGGAGAAAAGAAAAGGAAATCTATCTAAATCTAGTTTACAGCACCACCATTCACTATAAATCTGCTCATTATGGGATGTCATCATTTGTTAACATTGATCAGTTTTGTCATAAGCACTCTTCAGGTAAGTAAATGATGTTATGTATTCATGGCTTTTTTTCCCCTTCAGCCAGCCATCTTCACTTTCTTAGAGGAACAGTCAAGGTAATCAGTGTATCATTAGCCAGCGTGCACACTTAGAGAGTTGTACCCTCTGCTCCTTGCCCCCAATGCTATTCTCATTGTACTGCTGTCACTCTGCTTCCACTCTGAGTACTATTGGAAGGGGAAGAAAAGGAAGACATGAAGCCCTTAAGGCATATAATGAATTGGCAGGATATAAGCCTTTTTGTCACCCTCCCTTTGTGCCTAGTTGAAGTAAAAAGTACTTGCTCCAAACTCAACAGTGTAAGATGGGAAGAAAAATGTCAGGTGACTTAGGATGCTGACTGCAACAGTGCTTTGAAAGAGAAATGGAGATAAAATTTTGGGAAATAACCGTTTGAAACCTTCAGACCTTTAAAACCTCTAGAAGATTTCTGTAATATAATGCAAGTTGAAGAAAATAGAGACAAATCCATATGTGCCTACTAGCACTTACCCCTAACAGCCTGTATCTTGGAAATGTCTCATATATGTAATGCTACTTAAATGCTAATGTTTTTGAGCAAATGTATTCCTCCTATCCTCTTTCTACTCCAATCTGACCTGGTAATAACATCATATATGTTGCCCCATTTCTGTAGATTGTGAGGGGTTTGCAGGACTGATATCAGAAGATATAGTGTATGTGTGGCAAGGGGAGATGCCCTGAAGGATGTGTGGTATTGTAATCAGTCTCAAGTTTAGATTATTTGTCTGTTTGCCAACTCCGTGCAAGGAGTAGGCCTAGAAGCTTATTGTGTAATTAAGACTTACCTGTCTTTTAATGAAGATATGCAAGTGCCTTTTAGTGAAGAAATACAAGGGGCGGATTGATTAGGCAATGGAGGAAAGTTTCGGTGTTGTATTTGTGTTGTGTGGACTGGAGGTGCTGTGTGTGTATCAAGGACAGGATCTGTTGGAGGCAAGCAGGCACAGTTAGAAGATCTCTGGAGGAAGGAGGAATCTGCAACTGATAACCTAGCAAGAGCAGGTAGAAGCAAAACAAGAGATCTGCAGTGCAGACTGCCTGGGGAAAAGGACTGGAGTTATATTTAGAAAGGAGTCAGCAAGAAAAGGTTGACCAAGATGCTGGAATTCCAAGAAAGGAAGAGATATTTTTCCCTCTTTCCTCCCTCCTCCATAGGCTAAAAGGAAGTCCCACAGTAAAAGTAGCCATCTTGCAGAGTGAGCAAACTACAGCAGTGAAAAGTAACACCTATGTGAATAAAGGAGGGACTGTTAAGAAACTGTCAGAAGCTTTGTTTGTTAAGCTAAGGCCATTGTATCTAATAAAAAGCACAAATTATTTACTTGAAAAAGCACTGTTAAAAATAAATACCACTGGAGAACAGTATGCGTGTGTCTGGAAACTTCCTATCTCCTTTCCCACATACAGTAATATGCTAACATTGTATTGGCCTCTCTGCTATACTGCATCATCCCTACCTGAGCTGTTCAGTCTTGTCATGGGATTGGAGTTGGAATTCCCTGGACTTTTGGTTCCAGTGAACTTCAATTTATTCTCCTTAGGGAAGGGAGAAGTGGATCATAAGTTCATGGTCACCATCAGAACCATGGGTTTCTCCCAGGTGATCACAGGCCTGACCCATATAGGAGACCACATGTTAGATCTAGAGAGCTAAGATGTGATTTCAGGGTAGGGAAAATTTCCACCAGCTCCTTGTCATGATGAGATCACTGTCTGGTTTCTGTGGATTTAACTGGTTTCATAGACTTCTGCAGGAAGGAAAGACCTTCCTAGGTTAGGAAGGTAGTTGCCTTCTGATCTTTTTACTCTGCTTCTAATACTACTAAGTCAGTATATAGCCATCATGAACAGAAACCATAGAGATTGTCAATATTTTTTAAATTCCTTTTTCAAAACCAATTAAGCTGGTAACCATCACTAGATCAAGTTTTGTCCAGTATCCAACCTCCCTTTCTTAGGGAAGGTTATGGAGAAGGTGGTTGTGCAGCAGCTTCAACAGACCCTGGATGAAGCAGATTATCTGGACCTCTTTCAGTCAGATTTCAGGCCTGGGCATGGGACTGAAACAGCATTAGCTGTGCTTTTGGATGACCTCTGGTGGGAGCGGGATGGTGGTAGTGCATCTATCCAGCCTCTACCTGACCTCTCGGTGGCCTTCAGTACCATCAACAATGGTATCCTCCTGGATGAGCTCTGTGGGTTGGGAGTGGGCAGCCTTGTATTGTGCTGGTTCTCTTCCTACTTGCACGGTTGATTCCATTCAGTGTTGATTGGGAGTGTGAAGTCCCACCCTTGGCCTCTGTTGTATGGGGTTCCTCAGGGTTCGGTATTCTCCCCACTCCTGTTTAACATCAACATGAAGCTGCTGGGTGAGATCAACTGTCGCCATGGGTTGAGTATCATCAGTGTGCTGATGATATCCAATTATACATCACTGCTCCAGGCAAACTAAGTAATGATGTTGATGTCCTGTCTCAGTGCCTGGAGGCTGTGGATGTCTGGGCGAAAAACAACAGCCTTCAGCTGAACCCTGGCAAGACTGAATGGCTTTGGGTTTTGGGGCCTTCTGGATCTGGGAATTTACCACTTTTGGTGCTGGAATAGAGTTGCAGTGCCCCAAACAGGCTCTGTGTACAATCTGAAGGTCCTTCTAGATTCATGACTCCTTCTCGAAGAGCAGGTAACAGTTGTGGTAGGAGGGCCTTTACAGGATCCGTCTGTTAAGGAGTTCCATCTGACGTGACCCAGGAGGTGAGACTTCTCTGCCGTGGCTGCCCTGTGGAACATTATCCCCCTTGAAGTGAGATTGGCCCCAAGCATACTGATTTTCCAGAAATCCCTTAAAACTTGGTTTTGTCAACAGGCTTGGGGATCCCATGGAAGTGGGGAACCTGTGAAATATATATAAAATCCTGAAGGTACTCTCCGATGGTTTTAGTTATATTTATGTTTTAATTGTTTATTTTTTCAATATTTTTATTGAAGAAATTTTTAATGAAATAGAAGCAATACAAATACTAGAAAACCAACAAAGAAAATAAAGAATAGTGAATAAGTAAAGAAAATAGAAAAAGAGAAGATTATAAAGAAGTGTCTTCCGATCTTTTTGACAGCGGATATAAATACATTTATATTTTACCCTCTCTCTCTAAGGTTACATCATAATTTCCTTCTTCCATAAGGTACTAATCGTCAAACCCATAAATCACAAGTTCATGTTTTTCTTTTTTCAGCAAAAAGTCCATAAGGGGTTTCCAGTCACTAATAAATGTAATAGTTGATCTTTCTCTAAGCAAACAAGGTAATTTTGCCATCTCTGCTAGTTCCATCATCTTTACCAACCATTCCTCCATTGTGGGTATATCAGTCTTTCTATTTTTGTGCATATAGTAGTCTTGCAGCAGTGATCATATATAAAAATAGTCTCCATGACTCTTTTCTAGTTGTCTGTCCATTAATCCCAACAAGAAAAGTTCTGATTTCAGTTGAATCTTAATCTTTAAAATTCTTTGTCTCATGTATGTATTTGAACCCAACATTTTATGGCTTTTTTTACAAATCCACTAGGCATGATAAAATGACCCTTCACGTTGCCCACGTTTCCAACATACATTTGAAGTACGCTGATACATTCTGGTTAATTTTCCTGGAGTCATATGCCAATGGTACATCATTTTATAGAAATTCTCTTTTAAGTTATAACATAATGTGAATTTCGATCCTTTCAGCCACATGTTTTCCCACTGTTCCAACAATATGTTAATGCCCAAAATTCTTAGCCCATTTCATCATATACTCTTTCACTTGTTCATCCTCCATTTCAAATTCAGCAAGAATTTATACATTTTGGCAATTACATATTCATCATTTGTACATAATTCAACTTCAAATTCTGTCTTTTGTTGCTCAGTTCCAAATATCCTGTTATCTACCATGAATTTTTCTCTTAGCTTTGGATATGAAAACCGTTGAAAATTAAATCCCTCTGCAGCCAGTTGTTCTCTTGATTTCATTCACGTTCTTGTTCTAAAACTCTCGATAGCTTAACCATTTCTCTTTACCTGCTGTTTCTTTTCTGTAAAATGCTTCTTGTGCTGAGATCCATAAAGGCATTTTCGGGCACAATATGGGTTTATATCTGTTCCATATTCTCAATATTCTGTATTCTCAATATCACTTCTGACAAAGTATTTTTTAAAACCTACATTAACCTTAACTTTATTGTACCATAGAAAACTTTCACTTTATCATACCATAGAAAACCATGCCATACAAACCTCAGATCGTGCCTTTCTAATTCTAAATTTCTTCTTATTTCTCAGCAGCACATTTCTTAATGTTTTAGTTGTTTAATGGTTTTTAAGATTTATTTTTAATTGTATTATTTTTATTGTGCACTGCCCAGAATCACATCCATGAGACAGCCAGCTATATAAATTTGATTGATTGATAGTTAAATTTAAAACTGTTTTTTCTGTTTATTAAGACTGTTTATCAGTAATTAAATAATGTTTAAATTATACTGCATAAACATGTTTATTATCCAAATACTTACTATTTTTTCTAATACATATGCATATAGGTATTTCGTCCTCACATTGTAACTGAAGAGTTTCTTTGCAGCTATGGAACTTTACTGGTAAGTAACAGTTTTTACTCACATTGTTGAAAATATGGAGGATGTAATTAAAATGAAAACAAACTTTATTAACAGTATTTATTATTATATATTAGATGTATATGTCTCAATTTCATGTACTGTTTTTTTTTCTGTAATATATCCTTAGTAAAGGGAAAAAGGAATGACTGTTTCCACAGAAATTTTGCAAAATTCTTTTAAAAACCAATTTAATTGTGGTAAAATTTGATTCTAGAATCAGTTATCTATATGATGGCTGCTAGAATGAGATAGACTGAACCTCACAAGGAGGGGTAAGGATGAATTTAGCCAAAGCAAAATTACCTTGATTAGGAGGTCTATAAACTGAATCCTATCAGCAGCAGAAGTGAAAATCCTGAAGTAAGGACTTCAGGTAAAAACTTGTGCACTCTATAAAATGGGAGTGTTGCTGAGAAGCCACTCAAAATTCAGAAAGATCATTGGTTCATCAAGTTTCTTTTCTATATATATAGTGCATTCGGAAAGTATTCAGACCCTCTTCACTTTTTTCAATTTTGTTATGTTGT